ATGTACAGAGTCAGATTCAATTTTTGTGATTTCCTTCCCATGCCCCCTTATGCCACAGCTTTCTCGATATTATCAGGCCTTTCCAAGATATTTGATTTCATTTTTATACTAACTCCCATATGTACAGTTTATCACTACTTAATGTTATATCAAATTTTATAATTTCAAATTTTATAATGTTCAACTGCTGGTGGAGGTAGAATGATTAGAAGAAAAATAAATAATGAAAGAGGTAGTATAAAGAAAATAGTACCTGTTACTTTAGTAGAACTTCTGAGGGGGCTGGGGTGGTGGCTCAGTGGTAGCTGAGCACTTGCCTAGCATGTGTGAGGCACTGGGTTTGATTCTCAGCACCACATATAAATAAATAAAATAAAGATCCATTGACAACTAAAAAAAAAAAAAAATCTAAAAAAAGAACTTACTGAGATCAGGCACTGTTCCAACAGCTTACAAAGTCAACTCATTTAACCTTCCCAAGGGAGGTTCTATTGCTATGCTTTTGACTGATAAGGAAACTGAGGCATAGAGAGGTGGAGTTTTTTGTTTGTTTGTTTGCTAAAACAGCAAAATATTAAAACACTTTTTAAAACCAGTGACTCGGGAAGCTGAGTCAAGAGCCAAAAAAACTGATTTGTATATGATGTTAAAAATAATATTTAATGTTGTAGTGGCAACCCCCTCCTCCACAGAAAATTTTAATTAAGTTTCTCCAGAGACCCTTGCCATAATATTTTTTAGACTCTCAGCAAAACTTCTGCAAAAGAATTTTCAGGTGGTGGTGGGGTATGCTTGCAGAGGCAGAGTCCATAAGAAAGACTAGCCCAAGGCCTTCACAGAGGCATTGGCCAGGAAGCCAGCAACAAGAAAGGAGGTGGAGAACTCTTCCTTTTCATGGCACTGATTTTCAGAGTGTCCTTGGCCTGAATTGGTTGCCCAGAACAGTAGGAAAACAAACAAACAAACAAACCTTACTGTTATGTGTACTTCTGTGGATTGTGAGCCTTTGAGCCCCTCTCCCTTCATACTGGGTATAAAGTTCTAAAACTTTCTGAACTCAGAGTTCAGAGGGATTGATTGTCTGTGGTGAAAGCCCGCCTTCTGAACCAGCCAATAAACTGCTTCCTGCTAATTCCTCATTGTCCAGACTCCTCTACCCCCACAACAATGTATTATTAGTATTATGAACCCTGACAAGTTCAAAGTCAACCTTGACAACTTAGTGAGACCCTGTCTCAAAATAAAAAATTTAAAAGGGATTGGGGATGTAGCTCAATGGTTAGAGTGCCTCTAGTTTCAAGTCTTAGAACCACAATAAATAATAAATACTTTTTCACTTTTTTTTCTTTAATAAAATCTATTGAACTGTTAGGGTCCGGCCGAACGTCGGAGAAAGAGACCACACCAGAGACTGGCTCCATGCAATTGGCAAAAGGGGATTTATTGGGGATCCATTCCAGCTCGCTGGGACTCTGTGCCCACTCAAGAAGGGAGAGCGGCTCAGAGCCCGGAGGCAAAGGTCAAGCAGAGCTTAAGTACACTTTTTGGAGAGGGCGGTGGGCTTTGCATACATCAGAACAAATCATCATGAGGCGCGGGAAAATTGAACAACTCTGAGACGTGATTGGCACAATCATTGGCGGGAACAGGTCAGGCGGGGGTGATTGGTCATTCCTAAGTGGGTTACACATTCAAACTGATTGGTTCGGGCCCTGTGAGGAACTGCACAGGGCCCTAGGCTAAATGGCCAGTGGGGCGTTTTAACTATCTCAGGAATCTGGGTGTAACAGAGGAATTTAATAATACCTAATCTTTTACATTCAAGCTTTCCAGTTTAGAAACTTTACCCTTTCAGAACATAATATAATCTGTCTTTGAGACGAAACAACTTTGAAATGGTACAATTAATAAAAATAAGCCAATGAAAATTTAATAGGGCCTCCCCTTTGAATTTCACAAAAAGCATTTGTCCTCATTCTCAAGGAATCAGAAAAGTGAGTGTAGCTAAATTAGGGAGAGATCCTTTTAGACTTCATTGCTCTTTTGTCTATCTTCTCTTTGCTAGTAAAGGTGAGCCTATCAAAGAACCAAAGATTAAGGGATGAGATTTATGAAGGAGATTTTCTTTAAAAATGGGCTACTTCTGTAAGATACCGGAGGCTGCAGTAGAATGGGGTCAGTGAAGTTGAGAAGCAGCCAACAATAACTCTGACCTCTCAGCTAGGGGTCTGACCTGAGATTCAACCCTGCTGAGCCCACCTTCTAGCTCTGACCATGCTATTTTCTCTGAAGCTTAGTTCTCCCTGTTATGGGGAGATACCTCAGAAAGCACTCTAAGTCCAAATTTCAAATCAAAAGAGATCTTTATTTATCAGGCCAGGGATTGTCACCACTCTAGAGACTCAAGCTCTGTGGGAGGACAGCAGTTTCCTGGTCCACCCAAAGAGAATATAAGCACAAAAACCACAATTCAGTGACTTGCTTTTCGTCATTTAAGCTAGCCAATCAGAGAAATTAAAACATTAATAAGTGGGACTTGTGGGCTCCAGGCAGGACTGGAGTTTTCCAGTCAGCAAGCAAGCAATAAATGGAAGCTTTGCACTTCAGTTGACCACAGTCCTGGGTTCAAGCAGGTGCTAGACACTCGCATCCTGAATTTGGATGGGGGTTGGTGGGGCAAGAATCTACTTCAAAGTCGTGTAGACCCACAAGGGCCTTCACACCCAGGATGCAGCTCACCATAACCACCACTGCATCTTGAATAGGGTAAATTTGTGGAGTAAATAGGGTAAATTTCTGTACAAAGTACAGAAAGACATTTTTTTTAAATAGGAAAACAGCTTTCATTTCAGTTTCTCAGAAATAGCTCTTGTAACAGTTTTTTATAGAAGGCAGCAAAATGGAGTCTTAGGCCTATCTATGACAGTTTCTGCTTTATAATTCTTATCTCACTTATCAAAATCTTATATTTATAATCTATATTTTTTACTAATGTATAACCTATAACTTACACTCTTATTGATTGTATTTATCATCACAACATCCCTTTCCCCTTTTCTTGTTTTATTTTTTGGGGGGGAGGGGGAACTTCCCCCAATTCTTGAGCAAGGGCAACTGGGGTGGGGGGAAGCTACAGTTCACCTGGGTCTGATCTAATTGCTCATTTGCTCTAGGACAGAAGCCTGTGACTGCTAGGACCCAGCTGCTAGGGTATGTCATAAACCTCTGACAGACTATAAACTCCAAGGACCCAGAGACCTTATTTGTTTGCCTTGATGTTAAAGGCAAACAATATCCAACACATTGCCTGAGACCTAACAGATGCTCAATATTTATTGACTGAATGAATAAATGACCTGGAGGCCCCAATATAATTCATCTGATTTATTTACCAGTATCCTTCATAGTTAGGAATTGGTTTAATAAAAATTAATTTCTGTAATAAGATTATGTCTCTGAAGATCCTTGGAATACTTTTAACACAGTACTACATGACACCTTTTTCATTTCTTGGTGTTTGTTTCTAGCTGAAATTTCTGACATCTTTACTGACCATCTCAATGGTTGAACCTCTACCAAATCTTCTCTGACAACCCTTCTAAAAGTAGCCATTTCCTCCTCTAAACTCCAACACTGCAGTTGTTGCTTCCATTTTCCCATTCCCTTCTTTTTTTCTGGGGGTGGGGTGGGAGGGTTCTGGGGATTGAAACCAAGGACCCTCTACTACTGAGCTACATCTCCAGTCCTTTTTGTTTTTATTTTGAGACAGTCTCACTTAAGTTATTCAGGCTGGCATTGAACTTGTGATCCTCCTGCCTCAGTCCAAGTAGCCTTTTTCCTTTTTTACCCTTACAACTTCTCTGAGTCAGAATGTTGGACAAATGTTCTTCCCCTCCTACAGATAAAGAGATTTGGAGAGGTTAATGAGCATTTTCAGGAACACAAAACCGAAAAAAAGAGGAAGCACATGCTAGAACTCATACTTTTTTCTTTTCTCCCTCTCCAGGTCTCAGTATTGCTGAACAATGCATATGTTTAAGTCTGGGGCAGACAAACGGTCCAGTCAGAAAGGGTATTATCAGGGTGTAAACGTTATCTTCCCTATTAAATTGTGAAATCCTCCACGCCCTAACCTCTTAGAGGTCATAATAATATTAACTACATTAAGAAATGAATGACACTTAAAACCTTTAGTTCAGGAATAGGGAAGAAGAAAAAAAAAAGACTTCTCCTTGGCTGATTTTGCACTAAAGGGCTAACGTGTTCCCAAGTTGGTATAGGGGCTGGGAACACTATACAAGTTTCAACTGTTGCTTAATTTTTTATCCCAAAAGCTTGACTTCAAAGTTAATAATACAGCGGGTCTTTCTCCATCCAAGTAAGCACAAAACTGGTAGGGAGTGAGATTTACGTACTCGCTTAC